GGCTACGGCGGCGACAACTCCCTGTGGATCGTGCTCGAGTCTATGCCGCAGATCATGGTCAGTCACCATTCATGACCGTTGGTCTCCTTTCTGGCAGATATTAATACGTTTGGATAGGGAATCATGCCCACCCTCATCATTCTGGCCGTGAACGCCGGCTTCACGCGCAGGGATGACTTTTATTCTCATGCGCCCAAAACCCATACCCTGCAGTTTGCATCGCATCCCCCGGACACGAACACCACATTGGAGACGCTTTCAATCAGCGAACGCAGAGATTCGAACGATGCCCCGGCCGCGCTTCCATTTCACGAGCAGTCCTCGAAAACGTTTGCTGCTGATGAGTCTGAGTGACGGATATCTGAACGTAGTGCATGACATCTGCGTTCTGCATCGGATAACATGACGCAAGGATGGTTCCCAGCATAACGAATAGAACTTAATATTTTGTCCTTGTCGCGAGCTGCGCCGCTGCAAGTCAAGGAAATAATACATCCCTAGGAACCTGGGAACCGCCTCCATGTACGAAGTGAGTGACGGGTGTCTCATTCAGTATAATAAGCAGTGGCGCTACGAACCCTATGGTCCATGCGCAAAAATCAGAGCCGGTAGAACAGGTATCACGTAAATATAAATTATTCCAACTCAGTCCCGCTCTTCGCTATAACTGCCGAATCGAGGGGCCTACGATTGCAATTTTCTCAGACTACTCAACGAGGTACCTGCGCACTCGGAGGTGGAGCTGAGCGCCTTCCCCTTCACGTCCACGAATCTTCGGTTTGATAGTGTTTCCCCCGGTCTTGTAGAACACATACTCCTCCCCATCCGGCTCGAACACTAAGTGTCGAACGAGAACTGATATAACAATCTGCGCAGCCAGTGGAAATTAGCATCAACTCGGAACGTGCTGCGCATTCCGATGCCAGGAAAAGCATACGAACTTTTATCTCGGCCAGCGCTGGTGGCCATGCGTAGATACAGGGTCTTAGCGTCAAGGCATAGACTGCAGAGAGAGGATGAACTCACCGAAGTTCCGACCGGCGCATATCTTCGCCCTGCGGAAAGCGCACAAAACGCGCAGGGTTCAGTGCACGACCTAAGGCAAAAGGAGCAAGGTTGGTGATACTCACCCATCACCAAACGTCATCAGATGTGCGGGCGCGCGGATGCTGCTGACCACCTCGGGCAGGCCGCCCAGCTCCAACCATCGTTCTGGACGGAAGATGGCCGCATCTGCACCCCAAATCCGCGGGTCTGTGTTGATGCCATCACGAATAGGTATATGGATGTATTGCCCCGATGTAACAGTGATGTGCGTCTCGCCGGTGGGCAGGGGAAACTGCAGCGGAATCGTGTCCGCTTCGAGCGCCTGTGGGGCGTAAGGAGACGACTGTGGTCGACGACGACGTGAAGACAAACCTGTCGCTTTAGCGTCATCTGCATGGCCTTGGTGCGAATCGTCTCGCGGATGACGGCATCGAGGTAGGTCAGATGTTGTCCGTTCATTAAATCGTCGTATGTCGGCTCCCGGCCTACATGCTCAGTAAACGCAACTAGCTCTGCACGCAGCTTGTCCTGGATTTGAGGCTGACGTGCAAGTTCAAACAGACACTCCTGTCATGAAGAACGTGTTCACTGTAACTCGATATGGAGGATCGATGTCCTTACCATGATAACATTTGCAGCCGTTTCATAACCAGCGAAGATCGTACCTGTGATCTGCTCAGGGTTAAATGGCATAACACAGGACGACAAGACAAATGGACTATACAAGTGTAATGGCGAGATCCCGGTTAAAAGGCTTTCCTGTAATCTTCTCGGAATTATCTGCAAACGTGATGGGTGTCGATTAAGCGTAGAGAGACACGTCTGATCCACATACGTAGTGCATCCAAAAGCTTCGAATGCATCCCGATTCCTCGCTCCTGCTGGGTCCATACAGTATCTGCAATCGCTTGAAATTCAGTGCGCAACATCGTCGTCCACCGCTTCATAGGGTTTGGGATGTATAACAACTCGGGAATAAGTACCGTCATCGCGCTCACGGCGAATGTCAGCGTCGTCTGCGGAACATCGATTATCTGCGAGATGAGCTTGGGGATCGGCCTGTCTGAGTGGCTGACGTCGTATGCGAACGTCGTCATGCTTATCGCATCCAGACTGTAACAGTACGCGGAAGTAAGCAATGACATCGACCAGCGAATTTGAGAGGAGAGATCATACGTCAAGCGAGGGACCCTGCTGAACATCTCAAAGACTTTGCTATCGTCTTGGTTTATCTCGTCGTCCATGTCTGTTTTCAACTGCGCAATCTCAGGGTTTGGTGTTGCTGCCCCCAGACGATGATACGTACCTTGTGTGCAAGATCGAAAATAACGTTCGACACCTCGCGCACCGCGGCCGAGCTGACCGTGCCAGTATCATAAGCTCCACAGATATCAAAAGAATGGACTTGGCTGCACCTAAATGCCGGGCTGATAATCGCCCTTTGTTCCTTGTGTTCTTGTCCTGTGCCACAAGTCAAGTTCTCGAACAACCGTCACAAAAGTAGCAAGGCGTGCCTTCCATCGTGAAGAGTCCTTCACCGAACTGTTGCACATTAGATATATTCTGGAAGAGCAAGCGTGGACTCACAAACAGTTGAAGACCGATTCGATCTCCTGTGGGCCTCACATAGTTACTCGATGTGAGGATATGACCTGCACCCTTTGGATCGCCGATAGCAAGCACAGAGGTCTATATGTGCATATTAGAGGACTTGCTCCAACTGACCCTGTACCAAACGAGACGTACACCAAAGGGGCCCTTGAGCTTGTACGTCGGCCCATATTTCTCTGACCATTTGTTGTACAACGTACCGACCGGCGATGCCTGGATTTGGACGCCGTGTCCAAGTAGCCAGCTGGGAGCGGGAGGACCAGACAAACCAGAAAGAGTATAGTTTCGCAAGATCCGTCTTGCAAACGCAGACAATATATAAAAGAGCACGACGAGTCCAATATTTCGAACACTAATCCAGTCGCTGAGATGTATATCGCCTGACACCGACATTGCTGATATGATTCTTGCGAAATGTGAGGAGGGATGTGGACAGTCAAATTGGCATCAGTGCGTCGAGACCAAATGTAAATAATGGAGTTGTGGGAGGAGCGGTTTGGATGCGTTGGACGACTTTCCTTTCTTGGCGAGCGGCGTGCCAGATCTGTTTCTTCCTGGGTCTCGCATGCCGGCCTCTGATCAGTGTCTAAGTTTCATATTTTAATGAGGAAGGATGTCTAAGTCGAAGCGCTGTGGTGCTTGATATCACCAAATATGGATTGCATTTTTATATACACTGCAAGCATAACAGTGTATTTCCACCTGAAATTCTGTGAAAATATTTGAGGATATTAGAATTACATTTCCGTTGGAAATATCACGAATATTCTGTGGGCGTTGGCACAAAACTTACTTTCTTTTGGCAGTCTTGGAGGATCTAATCTAAGTCTTTCCTCAGTATTTTGAGGGCATCATCAATTCAGATTTTGCGTGTAGCATCCTTAAGTATTGTGATAGTATTTTCACTGGAAATATTCAAGCAGGCTCGATCTTGTTGGGCGACTCGATGCGGGCTAGCATCCCGTCTGTCGCTAGTGCTACCATGCGACGTCTGGATGGCAGCCTGACCAGACCATCGGGCGCCTCCTCTCCATCTCTTCCATCTTTCAAACATCATCGGTGATAAGGAGGAACAGGCCTGCCGTTGTGTGGACCCAAGGATATCCGCCAGTCACCTCAGCGGCTTTGGAGTGGGTCCACCTACCGTAATATCGGGTCAAAAATCTGTGCCGAATGGAGGACACATTCCCATGGATGATTCGACCGTTAGCCTGTAATACGATGACCTTGTCTATATATCACAGAAGCATATGGTGAGGTAGACGGATGCGAGCTGCTGGTCTCGTACCCAGACGCGTCGAAGACACACGACCACAAGCTGCATGTATCGAATGCCTATGTGCGGTAAGTCTCGCAGACAGGCCTAGGCAAGGCGAACACCGCTCAAATGGCTCTCGTGTGCAGCAAAATCATGATACTAGACCATACTAAGTTGTCCGTACGGTAAGATGCATCATTCAGGCGGACATACCCCACAAGCACATTTCACCCATGTCGGCGACATCCCAGGCTCATTTGAAGCGAAGAAGTTGAGGAAGAAGACAAACCGTGCACAGCCTGGACCCCTGGGAGCGCCTTCCAAAATCCAGTTGGCGCCTGTCTGATGAGTTTTGTCCTAAAATTCAGCAGAAATGCTCGAGAGGCGTCTCTGGGGTCTGTCCCAGGTCTGCAGTACCTCTGCCAATCATCCAATCCGGTGGCACTCGCTCAGGCTGCGTTGAGTCTCAGTGACCGCGGAGGGACTTCTTATAAGGACGATGAGCGAACAACGGCGACGCCATCGTCGCTGCCATCTCCAATGTCTCTTTTTGCCGTCGAACCCAGCCCGCCCACCAAGCTCGGCCACTACCGCCAGCTCGCCCCCCGCGCCGCCATACATGCCTCCCCGCTTGCCCTCGGGGCTATGAGCATTGGCGACAAATGGGCACAGTTCGGCATGGGCGCCATGGACAAGGATACGTCCTTCAAGCTCCTCGATGCCTACTTCGAGGCAGGTGGAAACCTCATCGACACCGCGAGTAACTAGTAAGTAAGCCCGTTTCGTCTTCCCGGTCTGCACACGCTGACAGTGACCGCGACACACGACAGCCAGGACGGTTCGTCAGAGGAGTTCGTCGGTGAATGGGCCGAGTCGCGCGGCATCCGCGACCAGCTCATCGTCTGCACCAAGGTCAGCGTCCGTCCGCCCATCCGACCCGATTGCCGCTCACAATTACTATAGTATACGAACAACTTCCGGCGGGGCGACGCTTCGCTCAAACAGAAGGTGAACTATGTCGGGAACAACCTCAAATCACTCAGGCTCAGCGTCGAGAGCAGCCTGAAGCGCCTGCGCACGGACTACATCGATGTCCTCTACCTGCACTACTGGGACCTGCACACCACCGTGGAGGAGTTTATGGACGGCCTGCACAACCTCGTGACCGAGGGAAAGGTCCTGTATCTGGTGCGTCCATCACCATATATGCTCTCCCGGAGCTGTGTGCTCAGACTGGAGGGTCGTGCAGGGCGTATCAGACACCCCGGCGTGGCTCGTGACAAAGGCGAATGAATATACTCGGGCACATGGCAAAACGCCGTTTGTGATCTACCAGGCGCCGTACTCGATCTTGCAGCGCGACATCGAGCGGGATGTGCTCCCGATGTGTCGTCATGAAGGTGTGTGGGACCAGTCTCTTCGATGGTGCTCGTCGCTCATGATGTGGTCGGCATTATCTACATAGGCATCGCCCTCGCGCTGTTCAACGTCCTCGCAGGAGGCCATATTAGGTCCGATGAGGAGGAGGAGAAGCGCAGGAAGACGGGCGAGCTTGGGAGACAGCTGATGGGGCCATGGGAGCGCTCGGCCGAGGAGAAGAAGGTGTGCGACGCCCTCGAGGAGGTGAGGAAGCAAGTCGGTGCAAAGCACCTCACTGCAGGTGAGTGGTTGTCTCGTGTGACCCGGTGTTCGTGCTCTGCCAACAAGCGACTGACCGCGTCGTAGTGGCCATCGCGTACACGCTTCACAAGGCACCGTTTGTGTGCCCGATTCTCGGAGGGCGCAAGGTCGAACACCTGGAGGCGAACATCGAGGCTCTGGACATCTCGTTGTCGGCCGAGCAGATGGCACATCTGGACGGGGTTGTGCCGTTTGACAAGGGCTTCCCGAACACGCTCATTGTGGGTTATGTGCTCTTCTGATGGGTTTGGCCTATCTCTGATTTGGGCATAATACTGTTTGGCAGGGTGAATATGGTGGATATCCGTGGCTGTTGACATCTCAGGCGACATTTGACATTCAGCCGCTGCTCCCTCCTGTGAGTGCGTCCAAGTGATTGTGTGGAGGGAGGCTGAAGATGATATGGAATGTGGGAGATGGGGACTGAATGTTCGTTGGGGTCATTTGATGAATTGGAAGCAGGGCATGTTGATGACGGTGGAAACCATGGAGTCGATTGTGGCTGTTGTGTAATTTTATAAGGATCTCGTCGTTTGGCTGCGCCGCATGCGAAACATGCCTTGCATGGATAATCTGTCGTGAGGTGAGTCGACGCCTTGTATAACATGTGTTGGGTCGAAGGGCAGCCCAACCTCTTCCTTTCCATTGAACTACTGCCATCACCATTTGAAACTTCTCTCCGAAAACAAATACATTCCCAGGACTGAATCACCGTGACAATGTAAGGATGTTTATCAACGAGATCGTGTACATATAACTGCTCTGAAATAAAATGGAGTAATTATTCTCTTGCGGTTCTCTCTATAAAATCGTAAACTTCGGGCGACCGCACTGTGATGTGGCACGGAAAATGATTGGGAGTGCTGTATCAGATTCTAGTCAGTAGCGTTCAAGCAACATCATGGGTAGCTCGGAACCTACACCACTGCACCGGCTTCGTTGATATCATTTCTATCCGGTATAATTTCTTCCCCATGGATATCCACTGCCTTCTCTATGTTCAGCGCCCATAGCAACATCGCAATGTCGATGAACATCTCCTTATTTGCGAAGTTGTATCCAGCACAGATGCTGTGTAGCTAATGTTAGTACGCGCAAAACAAGGCTTCAAAGTATGGTCGTATCGTACCGTCTCCCGAAGCCATAGGTGACGTGGCCCATACTATGTGTCTCGGGCGGCGTCACTCCTATCGTTCCGGAGGGGTCTAGAAAGCGCTCCGGACGGAACTCATCAAAGTCAGGGAAGATTGTCGGATCCCTGTTCATTGCCCTATCGATGCACATGTCAGTCCAGACGATTCAGCAATGGAGCAAGCTACACAATCACCATATGTTGGGCAGGATCATCGCACCTGTGTAATTAATCAGATAATATTGAATCAGCGAACGGACATGTATACCTTTAGGTATGTAGTAGCCCTCATACCAGTCTTCCTGAATAAGCTCCATATCAGTACATATACCCCACAGTTCTGTGCAGACATACTGCTGATGTTCGTCGAGGAACGCCTACAACAATAAACGTGTTCAATATGTGTCCCCGAGAATGAGCGGAGCATACCTAGCGGCCCAACGGGCCTCCATCGCAGTGTTTCCTTGACAATAGCGCGAATGTATGGTAGCGACGGCTCGTCTCTGAAATTGGGCACACGATCACGCCCGACCACAGCGTCAATCTCTGCCTGTGCTTTCCGCATGACACTTGGATAGAGGGTCATTGCAAGAATAAATACGATCATAGATGCCGCAGTCTGTAATTGGCAGTCAGAAGGCAACAGAAAGATGGTCAAAGATATACCTACCGTCTCAGCGCCAGCACCGCTAGTATCATCACTTAGTATGAAACGTCGCGAATTGATATAAATCAGCTTACAACATAGTGCCTGCAAGCCATGCAGTCTGCTTCTTCGTCAGACCGTATTTAGCTTGATTTTCAATGAGGGATTCTACGAAAGTGGAAGAAGAGGAACCCCCTCTGCCAGTGGCCTTTGTCAATTCGATGAGTGACATGTCGTACCGAGGCACGAGCAGCGGGGAGCTCACTATCTTCTCCGAAACACCATTTATGAAGCCTTCGAACATTTCTGTGTCCTTCCTGTGCCATCCTTCTCCTTCACGTTTCCATTTCGCTATCCAGCTGGGGAACTTCTTCATAAATGGGAAGAGTTCGACAAGATAGGCGCCGGGTAAGACCGAGCTTCCTAGCCGAGATATGTGTGCGTGAATTTTTGCCACCACAGGGTCGTCCTTCCCGAGACGTTGCCATCCGTATACTGAGGATAATACACAGGACGCGGTTGACCTACGTGATCAGCATTGATAGAGAAAGTTGGAGAACGTTGCAGCGCCATACCGCTTCAGATGTTCCATCCAGGAGTCAGGGTCGTTGAGCATGTCTAACACAAGGGATGCCGCCTCCTTTGCCTGTATGGGTTGAAATTTATCGACTACTCGAAAATTGAAGTCAGCGTGGGCTGCGCGCCGAAGTCTCCGCCACCTAAGGAGCAGCTGTAAGTACAATTCAGGAACAAACGACGTCGAGCCGAGAAAACTAACAAGTCGCCGTAAGGGATAAATGTCATCAAACAATTTCCTGTAAGAATTTCGCACGCCATGATGAACCGGGGTCTGTCACTGTATATGTTCGATCGACGATCTATGAAGGCGATCAACTCCAGCGGCATTGTCGAAGCAGCAAGCATACTAACCAAGTAGATCTTCTGCGACTTTGTGGGTATTAAGAACGATCACGCTTTGACCGGCCATGTTCAAGGAAAATATTGGGCCTATAGAAAGATAAGTGAGCATGTTCATGCGTTTACTACAGCCACGAAGATCTTGGCGGCTCACCATACATAGTCTTCCATTGCTCGAACTGAAGCCATGATCTATTCGGTACTTGGAGCACATTTCCAAGGAGGGGCAAGCCTGGTGGACAAGGGGGCATTTTCCTCCGTGTCAAATAACCCCCGAGAAATCTCCTGATGATCGCAGTAACCACTAGTAAACCGAGACTGTAAACTACCGTTGATATCGAAATGGACATGAGCAGGACGCCAAGCTGATTAAAAAGCATTTTTTGAGGGAAAAGAAGTTACAAGAAGCGTGGCACGGTTTGAGAGCTTCCTATATCTGCCTTATACACTTACAAACGGGGCTGTACTGCCGATGTCCTTGGATTGCTCTACAGATGGCTAAGGCGCGTCCATCCACAGTGTAAGAATGTTCGCCCTGAACAGCTCCTGCCACAATTTACAACGGCACTGATCCTCTCCACAATCGAACGAGTCTTTATGTGTACAAGTGGCCTCACCGTGAGATATCAATGCCGCGGACATGTCCTGGGACATCACACCCGGAAATCTGCCAGCCACAGACCTATCATAAGGCAGACAGATCCTGTGCTGATTCGGGTTCCGATGGAGATATCGACTAAGTGGCCAGTAAAGCCAGGATGTGGATACGACGGGACCAATGGATAAACGGTAAGTGTTCGGTCGAAGATCCATCATTTCAAATCATAAGAGCGCTGCAGCAGGAAGATAGAACCGAAGGCTGGGGGAGAGTCAATGCAGAAATTTCAACTTGTCAGACAACGTCACATGCTTCGATACATATGTACCAGTGTCCTGTCGTCTTCAGTGATCGTTTTACACTTCAATGTAGAGCAAGGGTAAAGTGCGGCAACCCATCGGGGATGAATCGGTGAAGCTGATGGGCGCAGAAACCCCACATCCGACACGGCGTGCAGGACATGGCGTCTTTGCGGCCACAAGTTTTGAGCGCTTATCATGCGTCTAAGCATCACAGTATCACTTACTCACATAACCAGGGCGCGAAGACGAAGGCTGACATGTTCTCTCGAGAAACAGAACCTGTTCAGGGAGACCGCGCACTGAGATTAATACTTCTAATAGAGCTGCCAAGTTGCAATGAAGTTCGGAACACCCATGGTAACGCCTGAATTTGGAGAATCAACTAAACAGAAGCCGAACTGGCAGTAATGGGTACTTATTAATCAATCAACCCACCAGAAGCAGAGCGCTCTCACTGAGAACGAACACAAACTAGCATAGATGGAACACCCTGGATAAACGCTAGAAATTTCTGACCTTTGTTAATTCATAGAATCCGTGATAAGACAAAAATTGACCGATGTGCTGATATATCTTGGGCTCTCGCTGACAACCGCGAGGGCATAGTATGCCTGACACCACGAAGATACTCCGCCTTCCGGAGACAATGGCCAGCTGGCCATGGCTGAGGATGATCAACCCTCATTACGAAGAAGTTAAGACGGAATCTAATTCGTGGTTCAAGACTTTCAAAGCTTTTACATCGGAATCGCAACGTGCATTCGACAAGTGCGACTTCTGTAAGGAGAACCTTTGGGCGTTGAGTTCAAAACTTTTCACAATTTGACCTTTTGTGACAGGCAGGTTGGCAGCTCTGGCATATCCCTGGAGCAGCAAGGGTGAGTGTTTTGCTGACAGCTTCGACAATAACGAGCTTACTCTAGGTTACAGAGCACCTTCGCACAGGATGCGACCTCATGAATTTGTTCTTCGTCATTGACGAATACACCGACGTCGAGGATGTGGCGACCTGTCGCCAAATGGTAGACATAGTCATCGATGCGCTGAACAATCCCTACAAGCCTCGTCCTGAAGGAGAAATATTGCTCGGTGAGGTCGCACGGCAGTAAGCATTCCGACTTATGCATAGAAATGATTTAACATGACGCTATAGTGGTTAGGTTTTGGGCCTTGGCTATCAAAACAGCCAGTCTTAGTTCCCAGCGACATTTTAGCGAGAGCTTCACGGCATACCTTGAATCAGTCGTGGCGCAGGCCGCCGACCGTGCCAGTGATACCATCCGTGATATCGACGGCTACTTCGCAAATAGGCGTGAAAATATTGGCGCACGGCCTTCATACGTTCCACTAGAGCTTGGGTTGGACCTTCCAGACGAGGTGTTTTACCATCCGGTCATTATCGAGTTGTCTGGTTATATAACTGACCTTATCATTCTTGACAACGTACGTGCGCGCGGGGTTCAAACGGCTTCACTAGTACTTACCAATACCGCCTCTTAGGATCTTGCTTCATACAACAAGGAGCAGGCCCACAGAGACGACCGACACAACATCTTGACAGTTGTTATGCATCAGTACGGTTATGTCCTTGACAAAGCGTTGGAGTGGCTAGCAAACTACCACACTGAGGTCGAAACTAAGTTTCTCGACGGTCTCAAAAGAGTGCCGTCTTGGGGGGCCGAGATCGACAAACAGCTCGACCAATATCTTCTTGGATTGGCAAATTGGCCGCGGTGCAACGATTGTTGGAACTTCGAGAGCGGTCGCTATTTCGGCATCATGGGTTTAGAATTTCAAAGGACTCGTATGGTGCCGCTATTGCCGAAAGTTGTCCATAATCGCATCCTACGACGTGAGGAGGTAGTTGTCCCTTTGGTCGAATAATATCGGAGACGACCCTCTATAGTAGTTCAGAACATACGCTTCTGCGCATATTGAGCGGGTTTCAATAAACATGGTATGATATCGGTCGTTGTGAAATGACCTACCGAGAAATTGTGCACGAGGCAAACGGACTCCAGCACAATCACAATACTCAGCGGCGGTTGGACGCATGGGCATAATTTCCATCAGTTGTTGTTAGAGAGTGAGAACACGATGAACACACTGCATCATTCGATGGCACATCGACGAAGGAAAGGATCTTTCGAGTCATACTCAAGCATGCCCAATCGCGGATAGGTAAATACTGAATATCTGAAAGTGCTTCGTTCACAGGCGACCAAATACGCGCAAGCAGCAATCTCCCTTAAGACACGACGAGCGCTATACATGGATTTGTTAGATAAACCTTCACAGAACCCCAGGTAGTATCCTGCCCGTACAGCGCGACGACTCCTTCAAATAATGCTTCCGGAGCAGGTATCACTCCTGAGCGGGGTCATTTGATCTCCTGCTAACTTCTTCCATCTTGTATGTAGCCTAAAGAGGCTAGCAGACCGTAGTAGCCTAATATCAAATAGCAGGCTGGACCCCGGACACTCCGACGGATGAGTTCCGCGCTGTCCAATGGCGCTTTCTGGTAAATTCCATAAAGATCATAACGTTTATGCTCATATGCTGCGCACGCCTGGAAGATTTGTAGAAGTTCGAAACAACCCTAATGATCTAATCTCTTTGCATTTCATAGGTTCTCACAGGCTTGTGGGCGCGCACATCCGCTGACCATGGCAATCTGTATATGCGCATTCCAATGCATCCCTTCCCAGCGATTACGGAGTTATCAATTCAATTTATCATTTCCTACTTTATTTAAGAAGGCGCACACAGAGTCGGTGCCCCTAGTCTGATGTCGTGTAGGCCGAGGCCCAAGGGACACTAGTAGTGCAGTTGTGGACGCATTTAGGCCGTTGAAGGCCGATGCGCGCTCTGTTGAAACATGGCATCTTGGAGCACCAGATTCATGATTAGTCGCCCTATCAAGTTTGACCCACTCCCGAACAGGAATCAGGCTATAGTACGGGCTCAAGGAAGGGTCGCCTGAGGGGGGCCGCCGATGTCTCGTATTGGACACGAATTGACGGAGACACTGGATAGCCACGATGTTGATGATGCCTTCCATTCACAAGGCACGTACCGGGAATTTTGCCTATCGTTGATACTTATTACATACAATACTTACTGAAGCGCGAATACCCCATCTGCAGTTGCCATCTATAAATGAGAAATGCTGGGGAATATTTAAGTTGGCTTCTCCATGAACTTGCGATAAAACGTTGCCGCATTGACTTCTGACACGAGTGAGAAATTTCATTACAAGTAGCGACGGCGACTGGTAGAGTCATCAGGCAAAGTCGCCATCTCGAGAATGTGAGTCTCTTCCCCAAGCATTCCATTTCTGTGTACGCTCGAAGGCTGGAGGCACTTTTAGTATCTAATATCATCTCTACATTATAACCCAGAGGTACTATGTTCTTCACTGAGTTATATTCAAACTATGAGACCCTGACTTTTAATGTGCAGACTCTGAAATCCGCCCTCCCTCTAAGGTCTATCCCCACGCCTTATACCATGAAGCTCTTGTGCAGCCTCAAGGACATCAGGAACGTCCTCAAAACGAGGGTTAAACAAACATTTAAACGAAGCCGGTCGCCTGATGGGAAAATCAAATGGATTAGCACCAATGGATGGGGAGCTCCGGCAGCGCGGCATAGAACCCACATTACGGAGCCACTCGTAACAACGGCTTCAGGCGATGGAATCACAGGACATCCATCAGGACCCGGTACACCTTCGAGCACAAAAGCCCAGAGAATGGAAGCCGCGTTGATGAAGATGGCGTCGTTTGCGACGTGTCGCCCAACGCAGAGTCGGTGCCCGAACCCATAGCTAGCATGACCTTCTTGTTTTGTATGGTCAGGAGCTTTTGCAAACCTCCCGTCGGATGTTAGATGTCGACTAGGATTGAACTCATGGGCGTCAGGCCCGTACACGTTAGGATCGCGGTTCATAGACCTGATTTCTAGAATGAGCAGATAGGACAATAGAATAGTGCCATTCTCCCGGTTCATACATACCACACATTCGGAATGACCATGGCACCTTTCGGTATAAGGTATCCTTCGTACCAGTCGTCCTATCATTTGTTGAGCTCGTACATATTCTTTCTAGTATAACATCTTGACTTACCTCTATAAGCCTGTGCGGGGTACCCAAAGGTGCTGCTGGCTGCCATCGGAGGGCTTCTTTGACGACGGCGCGAATGTATGGCATTCGATTGTAATCCTCGAAAGTTGGCACGCGTGTTCGTCCAACGACTACATCAATCTCTTCCTGTGCTCGACGCTGAACATCAGGATAAATAACCATCGCAAGGATGAACCATGCGAGAACTGCGGAAGTCTATATACAATTAGTTGACACCCATTCCGTCATACCATTTGAAGCACACCGTTTCGGCACCAGCGGCGCTATTTTACTCATGAGATGGCAAGACTAACATAGGTCACAAAGGAGAACCACGTACTACATCGTACCGGCCAGCCACGACGCCTGTAGATGGCTCAGTCGATGCACGTGCTGTTGTTCAATTATCAATGACGCAAAGCTACTGGGAACCCCGCCTTCGGCCTGATGTCTTCAGCTTTAAGTGTCATCTGGTCATGATCACTGATGTACGCACCACTTGAGCTTCGACACCTGAATAAAGCTCTTCATACATTGCGGAATCTTCTTTGAACCACCGCTCAGCGTCGCGCTTCCACTTTGCCATCCAGCTAGGAAAGTAGATCATCCATGGGAAGAACTCTACCAGATGAGCACCAGGATATAATGCCCGCAGAAGACGAGTGGCAAATTGATTTATACGAGGCACTGCCGAAAGAGCAACAGAATTCTGGGTAGAATGACCGTAAACGAGGTTGAAGATCAACAAAGAGGTAGATCTAACGCAGATAGATCAATACGAGTAGTATATATCCAGGGTGTGTAATGAGAAACATACTTGCGAACATGCGCTCCCCACGCATCGGGAGTCTCAAGGAGGTCGCTTAATAAAAACAAAGCCTCTGTGATTTGTGTAGGGTGTAGCTGCCGCGCTTTCGTTCTTGTCATGCCGTCATGTGCCGCCTTCTTCATCCTCTTCCATCTACAGATGAAATAAATTATGCTAATCACGGTAGATCGTATGGAAGCTGACACGTACTGATCATCCCAGCGGCCGAGGACCATCAACAGGCCACCGGTCAAGATCTCTGAGGCCACAATATTTCGCATCCTGTCCGAATATATGCGTGAGCGCCGGTCGAGTAGGTCCGTGGCCGTTCTGTGAGTGTTCAAGACTACAACATCTCTACCGAGTAAGTTGACGTAGAAAATATCGCCTATACGCAAAAATTATGAACAAAGCGCAGCGAAGAAATAAGACTGCATACCATATTCCTTCTGCCATTTCGTGAACTCAAGCCAGATGGTGGGCGTTATCTGAAAGATGTTACCGAGAAATGGCACTCCGTTTGGTCCAGGTGGAAGACTCTGTCGTCGAGCACGCCGGCGGAGATAGACGTGGGCAGCGACAGCCGCTATGAGGAGCGCAACGAACTGCGATGACTGACTAGACCACCAGAGAGAAGTCATAATGGCAAGTGCCCATTCGCTGTGAGACATGATTGGCACGTAGCAAGACACTGGCATGGCAAATCGGACGTGCGCAGCTGTAAAGCATATGTTAAAAATCCACAATGAGCGGCGGGGCCGCTTCTAGACGGGTCGTTGATTTAGGTTGGATCTCAGACTTGTCTGAACAAAAAACTTTGAAAGTGAGCAGCAGCCTTCAGTACATTGTGGGAGGATGGCATGTGCGTGATCGGATGTCTGAACGCTAGGCTCCAGAGTTATGGTCCATCTTCCGATGCTATGCGGGCCATACTGGGAATAGCGTCTTCGGACAGTAGATTCAGCGGTAGCATAGAGTCCGAACCCTTGCGAGACCGGATCCGAGTCTGAGTCCGAGCGGGGAGCCTAAGCGCTGAAGCGCGCGGTGGACCCAATCATGACATTGATTGATCATTTGAAATACCTTTGCTCAATTGCCACAGGGGCCTGAGTCGCCAGCGCCGTCCGATTATTTTGGGTATACCTTTGATATTCGACTTCTGTTAGTAAGGGAGCCCGATTAGGGCAAATTTCTATTGAGATCATCCTGTATCAGCTATGATATACAGATGAGATCGTTGGCCTCATTCCCATCGATCCGCAGAGAGCAATGTGCGCCGGTTCGTTTTCAGGGTAGGTCTCATCCATTGAAGGCTCTTAGATGAGGCATGTCACTCCATTCTGACGAATATGTGCTGTTGCCTGGGATCAGGATCGCAACGGCACTCAAGACTCGAAGCATGTGTTTACAATGGAATTTAGACCAAAGCCGATACAAGAAACACTCACATAACCATTACAAGAGACCAACCCCCATTACACCACGATTGAACGTACGAAACAGTTCTAACGTTCTTCAGATTTACGTATACGAAGATACAACTGCGGTCCCTCATGCTCACGCCCCACGATCTTCGGTTTCACAGTATTTCCGCCAGTCTTGTAGAAGACGTATTCTTCGTCATCCGGCTCGAAGATCAGATCACGTACGAGCGCGGCCAAGATGATCTGGGGAAGGTGAGGTGAGTGGGTACGGAGCATATGCACTGGTTCATTCAGATCCTTACCTTGATTTCCGTCAGGGCTGCGCGCAAGCGATCATTCGCGTCAGACAAGCAAGACATGTAGAAGCTTAGGCTGCTTTACCGAAATGACGGCCGAGACATATCTTCGGTCTGTGAGGAAAGTTAAAGGTCTAGAGGTCGGCGATAGGATTCACTCACCCGTCTCCAAATGTCAATAAGTGGCCTGGGGCACGAATGTCCTTGACCACGTCCGGCAAACCGCCTTCGTCCAGCCAACGCTCCGGTCTGAAGAGCGCCGCATCGGGTCCCCATATGCGCGTGTCGACATTGATGCCATGGCGCAGAGGGATGTGTGCAAGCTGCCCTGCCTGTACGGCGATTGCTGTTTCACCTGAACAGTGTATAGGGAACTGGAGTGGGATAGTGTCTTCCACAGCAGCCTGCACAATACAGCATCAATCCACATGCTGGATTGGCTAAGGAGATTCAGACGCTCACCTCACGATAGATAGTCATCTGGACCGCCTTAGTGCGTAGCGTCTCTCTTGTAAGTGCGTCCAAGTACGTAAACTGCGCCGGGTTCATGATATCGTCATATGTTGGCTCACGTCCAAGCCTCTCGGAAAAGTCAACGAGCTCGTGCCTCAACTTGGTCTGCATGTCGGGATGCCTGGACAGCTCATAGAGAGCTTCCTGGGTAGACCAGCGACATAAGGGCAGATGACCAAACTATAATATGAAGCTTGAACTCACTATGATTACGTTCGCGGTCGTTTCATAGCCAGCAAATATCACCGCAGTAATCTAGAATCATCACTATCAGTACAATGGCATGTAAAACAATACAACATACACACCATGGTGATTGCTAATTCCCGATCCATAGGTTCTCCCGTCACTTTCTGGCTGTTGTCTGCCAAATTTGCAATCATGTTCAAGGTTAGAGTATGGAATCTGCTCATCTAGCAAATAACGTACTCATTGAATCGAGCAGCTTTGAGTGGAGAAGTCCTCCACGTGCCTCTTCATTTTGACTCCATACTATGTCTGCGATCTTGCCAAATTCCGTTCGAAGCAGATCCGTCCATCGTTTCATGGGATTAGGAAGATACAGAAGGCTGGGAAACAAAGAGACAAGAGACATAGCAACCAGTGTTTAAGTTGTTTGGGGGACGTCGGATATCTTCGCGATGAGATTTGGAATAGACTGATTAGAATTGCCAACGTCGTAGGCAAAGGCGGTCATGCTTATGGCGTCCAAACTGTCATTTGGGAATGGGTGAGCGCATAAATGCTGATCATCAGGAAAACGCACGTCACCCGAGGAATCTTGGAAGATATCTCCAAGATCTTACCATGCTGGTTTTCTTCACTATCCAACTCGTCTGACAGCGAGTTCTTAAGCTGGTCATGGCATAGAAAGCAGTCAGAGAAGGATTTACACATCAGCGAATAATCCACCTTACATCGAGTGCGAGATCGAAAATGACGTGAGACACTTCACGAACAGTAGGTGACCTATAATGTTCAGAGTAAGCATGCGCAGATCGGTCGATTAGTAGGCAAGCGAACGTAAAGGCAGGGTTCACGATCCCGCGCTGCTTTCGGTGTTTGTCACCTTTGGCAAAAGTTGAGACCGACATGTCCACGCAAGCCGAGCAGACGGACCTTCTACACTGAATAATCCTCTTCCAAACTGGGAGGAACGAGTGAGCTGTGCGTAGGAAGAGCCCAGGGGCTGTGACCACGTACGAACTGTTCAAGACTGATCGCGTCTTCCCTTGGTCTTATATAATTTCTGGAGTTGAGAATATGACTAGCGCCTCTGGGATCTCCTACCATTAAATATGAAATCTAACATGCTAAGGTTGACTTTATGAGAAACAAGCAACAACAGAGCAGACTTACACCTAGAGGACCTTTCGTCTTGTAGGTGGGACCGTATTCCTTCGCCCATTCGTTGTAGCGCGTGCCTACAAGAGACTCCTGGAGCTCGAACTCGTGTCCAAATAGCCAGCTCGACGCGGGTGGACCCACGAGGTCACCGAGGGTATACATCCGCGAGATCTGTCTTACTGCAAGGCCGACGAGGACGGTCAATGCTAGTATGACGAGGTGTCCACTGAACGCCCATTGGGATATAGAGTACAAAGAAGCCATGGCTTCGGGCCACGAGAGTAACGTCAGTTGTAAGGGAATTGTCTGAACATGCGGAGTGCTCACTGTACATTCAAACGTACGATACGACCGTTCTCTGGAGAGGAGCTAATGCGGGAAAGGCCCATACGCTGCACTGGACGGCAGGGCTTTAGCTTCATCTTCTTAACCTGATGTGATCTTTCTTAGTTGCGCGCGTCCAAGAATCTAAAACCCTAACCCACGCCTGGGTTCATCAACATACTTGAAGCGGAGTCTTAATCTAAACGATCCGGTGAGGACCTCTGGGACTGTGTTGATCAAATGCTCAGACAAATTTGCTTCCAACATCCAACGGTAACATCTATCTTGTAGCCTCCTTTTCCAAGTGATTTCGCTCACACACATTGTTCTGGTCCTTGGTTTCACCTCACCTTGTAAGAATTCTCCGTTCTCGGCTATCTAGGTTGTGCTTGCGCAATGCGCTATTACAACTATCGTTCTCCACTGTGTGACGACATTGGAAAGGTCTCGTCCACTGAACAGAAGAAGAGTTTAGACCTTCCAAAATAGGTCCTTCATTACGGCAGAAAGAAAAAGTTCCTTCATTCATCTCACACCGCCCCGGGGCGCCCGAGAATGCATTGTGTGCTATCCAACCAGCCGCCTAACCCGTCTCTCCCAAGTGGAGATGCCAAGTTCCTCGCGGAAGTCCATGAAGCGCTGCTGGTAAGGTTTGACGCTATCTCTCTCTCTCAATTCGGCTCTTAATTCAGCCGTAATCATATAGATAGATGCACTACTAGCTTCAGCGCATCTCCCATCTTAACAGACCCATCCTGCAACAGGCACCACTATGACAACCTGTCGGATCGTGTCTGCTGACCGAGCTGTGTTGACCACCGCAGTATTTGGGCCTGAATGCGTTTATGATGGACGTGCACTGATACTTCATATATATGGACGGAGTCGTTACTCCTCAAAGCATTGCTTGAGTATTGAGTCAGCATGGGCGCGAACTTCCGCACAGATGAGTCATTTATTGTTGCAGGCTGGGTAGAGTCCGCTCTGTGGGGTACGTTCGTGTGCGCTCTAAATTGGAATGTTGTTGCATGACTTTCTTGTCAGGAGTCTATACCGTCCTCTATGGGCTGACCTTGCGTATCATCGGCAGAAAGGGATGGGGGTCCTCGAACAAAGTGACCCTTGGTGCGATCACTCTCCTGTAGGACACGCTCTCCTTCGGATTATCCTATTTTTAGTGCTCATATATCATATGTATGTTAGCTACTCTCTCGCCACTGCCCATAATGTGATGTCCCTCCAAATTCTCATCAACGCGTTCATAACATATATTCAAGAGCCTGGGCCAATCGTGTACTTGTCCGAAATCGCAGTTCTTCTAAACGTTGCCAGGGACATGGTGTATATTACCACCGTGAGTGATCTCTGCGGCTGCTTGTTCAACGATTCGTCTACCGAGTTTTTTTTTTCAGATTGTAATCGGAGACAGTGTTCTGGTCTGGCGCCTCTATGTCGTCTGGGGAAAGAATATCTGGATAGCGATCTTTCCCCTCTGTATGATCTTGGCGACTGCAAGTGCGTATCGCTCGAGTCTCATACGTTATTTTGTGCTCACTCATGCACAGTAACTGGATACGTTGCTATCGGACAATGGCTCAATCCAGCGTTACAAAGCACAAACATCAACATGGCAGTTTTCAACGACAGTGTCCGCTGGGTTACCGCGATGTACGCTGTCTCTCTCTCCACAAACGTCAGCGTCACCGCTATAACCGCCGGAAGAATTTGGTAAGCCGCCAGCAGCACTCGAGTTACCAACATAGACTCATTCAGCGACAGGTGGGTGAGCTATCGCGGCAGAAAAATTGCGAGTGCCACTTCAGGTGCACGATATACGCGAGTGATCATTCTTCTCCTAGAGTCAGGAGCAATGCTCGCCGCCATGAAAATTATGGAGTTCATCTTGTTTGAAATAGCTGGAACCGGTATCGGCGGGGACAACGCGCTCTGGATTGTCCTCGAGGCCATGCCACAGGCGATGGTACGTGAGCAGTCTCATGCATTCGTCCCTTCTGATGCAGCAACTTCTCATTGCCGCAGGGTATCATGCCTACGCTCATCGTTCTCGCCGTCACGTCCGGCTACACGCGGAATGACGACTTTTACAAGGCAAAGACCAGTGTCGTGTCAATCTCGATGCGATTCGCATCTGAGCACCCGACCATGCCGTCATTGGTTAACGTCTACGACCAGTGAACCGCAGACCTATTCAGATGAGCCTTCTACAGTCGTGATTCCACTGAGACATGACCAGTCTTTCAACGCCTCTGAGAGTACTTACAACACAGACATGTAAGGTAGAGGTTTAGATGCTGTGTAGGCGTTTCAGTGATATTGCGCTCTGACAATCACTGTCGTCTGCTCACACCAGTAACTGCCGTTTTCCCAGTGGGAGAAGGTTCATTCTGCATCTGATAAAATACTTACCCTGTTTCATTGCCACCTTTTACATATCCCAGGCTTTCCGTGCTAGGATTCTGTTGATTTTTTCTGTGATGGCTTAAGTTGGGTTCATGATCACTTACAAAGAGCAGAAAAACGACTTTCATGACCTCTATATCAAGCCAAAAGATGTGGAGATCGTTCAGGCGGCTGAAAAATATCCACGACGAACACAGCGCCCCCCCTCGCTCAGGAGATGCGTACAACTGAGAACAGAATCTCCACTCGCGTCCGATCAGATCGATCAACATCGGCGCTGTATATACGAGATGACAAAATGCAACACAGATCTAATGAAGCTGTGCGATTCGCATATACGACGTCCTTACTGATACTGCTACGCAATCATACAACAACCACACCCGGTTCCATGGTTTCCACCATCACCAGTATTCCCTGCATCATTTAATTCATCAGATGGTCCCCAGATGGTCCCAACGAACGCTTAGCTCCCACCTCCCACCTCCCACATCATCTTCAGCCTCCCCCCACACAATCACTTACACACTCACAGGAGGGAGCAGCGGCTGAATGTCAAATGTCGCCTGAGACGTCAGCAGCCACGGATATCCACCATATTCACCTTGCCAAACAATATTATGCCCAAATCAGAGATAGGCTAAACCCATCAGAAGAGCACATAACCCACAATGAGCGTGTTCGGAAAGCCCTTGTCAAACGGCACAACCCCGTCCAGATGTGCCATCTGCTCGGCCGACAACGAGATGTCCAGAGCATGTTCGCCTCTAGGTGTTCGACCTTGCGCCCTCCGAGAATCGGGAATACAAACGGTGCCTTGTGAAGCGTGTACGCGATGGCCACTACGACGCGGTCAGTCGCTTGTCGACAGAGCACGAACACCGGGTCACAAGAGACAACCACTCACCTGCAGTGAGGTGCTTCGCACCAACTTGCTTCCTCATCTCCTCGAGGGCGTCGCACACCCTCTTCCCCTCGGCCAAGCGCTCCCATGGCCCCATCAGCTGTCTCCCAAGCTCGCCCGTCTTCCTGCGCTTCTCCTCCTCCTCATCGGACCTAATATGGCCTCCTGCGAGGACGTTGAACAGCGCGAGGGCGATGCCTATGTAGACAATGCCGACCACATCATGAGCGACGAGCACCATCGAAGAGACTGGTCCCATACACCTTCATGACGACACATCGAGAGCACATCCCGCTCGATGTCGCGCTGCAGGATCGAGTACGGCGCCTGGTAGATCATAAACGGCGTCTTGCCATGTGCCCGAGTATATTCATTCGCCTTTGTCATGAGCCACGCCGGGGTGTCTGATACGCCCTGCACGACCCTCCAGTCTGAGCACACAGCTCCGGGAGAGCAGATATGGTGATGGACGCACCAGATACAGGACCTTTCCCTCGGTCACAATGTTGTGCAGGCCGTCCATAAACTCGTCCCACCGACATAGGTCACTTTCTGCTTCAGAGAGGCGTCGCCCCGCCAGAAGTTGTTCGTGTACTGTAGTAATTGTGAGCGGCAGTCGGGTCGGATGGGCGGAAGGACGCTGACCTTGGTGCAGACGATGAGCTGGTCGCGGATGCCGCGTGACTTGGTCCATTTGCCAACTAAATCCTCTTCCGAATCGTCTTTGGCTGTCGTGTGCCGCGGTCACTGTCGGCAGGTCCAGATTGGGAAGACGAAACGAGCCTGCTCACCAAGCTCGGCCACTACCACCAGCTCGCCCCCCGTGCCGTCATACATGCCTCCCCGCTCGCCCTCGGGGCTATGAGCATTGGCGACAAATGGATCCAGTTCGGCATGGGCGCCATGGACAAAGATCCGTCCTTCAAGCTCCTCGGCACCTACTTCGAGGCAGGTGGAAAACCTCATCGACACCGCGAGCAACCAGTAAGTTAGCCGGGTTCGACGGCGAAGAGAGACATTGGAGATGACAGCGACGATGGCGTCGCCGTTGTTCGCTCATCGTCCTTATAAATCCTTTTGCGGCCACTAGGACTTGAGGTAGTCTGAGCGAGTGCCACCGGATTGGATCTGCAGACCTGGTACAGACCCCAGAGACGCCTCTTGAGCGTTTCTGCTGAATTTTGGGACAATACTCATCAGACAGGCGCCAGCTGGATTTTGGAAGGCGCTCCCAGGGGTCCAGGCTGTGCACGGTTTGTCTTCTTCCTCAACTTCTTCGCTTCAAATGAGCCTGGGATGTCGCCGACATGGGTGAAATGTGCTTGCGGGGTATGTCCGCCTGAATGATGCATCTTACTGCGTGGTCGAAGAAGTGGTCTAAGTCATGATTTTGCTGCACACGAGGGCCATTTGAGCGGTATTCGCCTTGCATGGGCCTCCCTGCTAGGCTGCCTGCAAATGGGCATTCGATACACGCACAGCCCACATCTGTTTTGAACTTGCATGCCAGCCTAAGATCCAGGACAAGCTGCGTGCAGAGCTAGTCGCGTCAGACCGGGGCCCGATGTATGACGATTTGATGAACGAACAACATCTAACCTACGTTAACGCTGTCTCCCGCGAGTTTGTGGCGTAGATGCTGCCATCTTTGTCCAGAACGATGGTTAGAGCTGGGCGGCCTGCTCGAGGTGGTCAGCAACATCCGCGCCCGCGCATCTGATTACGTTTGATGATGGGTGAGTGTCACCCAACCTTGCTCCTTTTGTTCTACTTCGTGCGCTGAACCCTTTGTGTTCTGCGCGCTGTCCGCAGGACGAAGATATGCACCGATCGGAACTTCATGGAGCTCATCCACTCCCTGCAGTTCGTGCTTCCATGTTAAGACCCTGCACCTACGCATGGCCGCCTGCGCTGGCCGAGATCAAAGCTCATATGCTTTTCCTGGCATTAAAATACTCAGCACTTTCCGGGTTGATGCTGACTCCCACCTGGATGCACAGATTGTTAAATTGGTCCCCATTCGACACTTGTTCGAGCCGGATGGGGAAGAGTATGTGTTCTACAAGACCGGGAGAAATGCCATCAAGCCGAAAATTCGTGGACGCGAAGGAGAGGGGCCGCAATTCCATCTTCGAGTGCGCAGGTACCTCGTTGAGTAATCTGAGAACAGCACACTCGTAGGCCCTTTATACGGCAGGTATAGCGAGGAGCGGGACTGACGCGCAACAATTTATGTTTACGTGGCTGTTTGTTCTACCGGTTCTGGTTTTTGCGCATGGATCTCAGTGTTCGCAGCGCCACTACTCATTATATATAAATGTGACACTCGTCGCTCACTCCATACTGGAGGCGGTTCCCAGGTTCCTAGGTCGCAAGAAATGGATGTATTACCTTCTTGACTTCCGGCGGCAGAGCTCGCGCTCCTTGTGCGATGAGGGCGAAGTATTGAGTTCCATTCAATATGCCGGGAATCATTGTGAGAACTGTAATATATAATCTCAATCCGATCCGACGTCGCGTAGAGGACTTAGGTATATACTTGTGATATATAACTAGAGAGTTGTAAGTAACAGGTCGTATAAAAGGGAAGGATATATGCACTGCCAATCCGACATTGTGTAGACGGATAACTGAGGTACGTGGATGACGATGCTATCACAGTTACCATATTTAGAAAGAGAGTAAATAAGATAAGGAACAGATATAGTAAGTCACTTATAGTGTCTGTTTGTATTCATGAGTTCACAATCTATTCTACTTCGACAATCATGCTTGTGTCACGGCCGCCGACGCAAGACGCGGCAGATGTCATACACTACGTTCAGACATGTATCCCCCAGACTTATCATCAGCAAATGTTTTCGAGGACGGCTCGTAAAACGGAAGCGCGACCGAGGCATCGTTCGAATCTCTGCGTTCGCTGATTGGCAGCACTCCTAGTGTGGTGTTCGTATCCAGGGGCTGCGACGCAAACTGTAAGGTATGGGTTTGGAGAGCAAGGGAGTAGAAGTTGTCCCTGCGCGTGAAGCCTGCGTTCACGGCCAGAATGACAAGGGTAGGCATGATTCCCTGTCCGAACGTGTTAATATCTGCCAGAAAGGAGGCCAACGGTCATGAACGATGACTGACCATGATTTGCGGCATAGACTCGAGCACGATCCACAGGGAGTTGTCGCCGCCGTAGCC